AACTAAGGCAGATCCTGGTCAAAGTACGACTTTAAAAGCTAAAATAGTGAAATTCCACTCAGGGCTCTAAATGGTCAAACTACATGTTATATCTTTAATAGTTTACACATAACAGTTCACAGCCTTTATAAAATAGTTTCTTGAAATATTATTATTTACTGTTGAGGCACCTAGCTGCATACATTTTCATGAGTGTGCTGAGTAAAACCTTACTTGTCTAAATGGATACTAAAATGATGTCAGTTTAAACAGACAGTCTTGATCACATGGAACACAAAACAATGTACATGTGGTACTATTTTTAAGCATTCCTGCAAAATGTTTTTTTTTTTGCACCATTGCTAGTTCTTTACCCACATATATCTGATCTCTTCTTTATTTTTTTCAAAAGGTTGATGAATTCCATGCAGTTAGACAGAAACTGACAGCTGAAATGGCTGACCATTCCAATCTGATCAGAAGTATGGTTGTGAGGGCAGAAGATGCCAGACTTATGGGGGATATGTAAGTGTATTCTACCCATGTCAGTTTCCACACTAGGTATTTCAAAGTATGCTTTGTCACAGCTATGCTAAGCATATACCGGTACAAAAAACATGAATCTGTAGGATGGAAGGTACATGTATTTATAAAGAGTATTTAGTCAAAATGCCCTTTATATTTTCCATTTAAATAGTGCAGATTTAAATGAGGTAGGGCCATTAGAACCTTGCATCATTCATGGATTTTAAAAACTTTTTAAACATCTTTGTTTTTGTTATTTTAATAGGAAGAATATGAGAAAAGGCTACATGGAGTTATACAACATGAATAGAGACTTAATCAATGGTTATAAAATTCGCTGCGGAAATCATCAGGAACTATTAGCTTGTCTGAAGCAGCTGAATCAAATGATACAGAAAGCAGGCAGGCTCAGAGGTATTGCTAACTGACTCAAGATGAATACTTGAATGATGTTTTTAGCTCACCTGAGCCGAAGGCTCAAGTGAGCTTTTCTAATCACAATTTGTCCGTCGTCCGTCCGTTTGCTGTCCGACTGTAAACTTTTCACATTTTCGACTTCTTCTCAAGAACCACTGGGCCAATTTTGACCAAACTTGGTACAAAGCATCCTTGGGTGAAGGGGAATTTAAATTGTTAAAATAAAGTGCCAAGTCCCCTCACAAGGGGAGATAATCAAGAAAAGACAAAAATAGGGTGGGGTCATTAAAAAGTCTTCTTCTCAAGAACCACTGGGCCAGAAAAGCTGAAACTTACGTGGAAGCATCCTGGGGTAGTGTAGATTCTGAATTGTTCAAATCATGACCCCCGGGGGAAGGGCGGGGCCACAATGGGGAATCAAATTTTACATAGAAATATATAGGAAAAATCTTTGAAAATCTTCTTCTCAAGAACCACTTGGCCAGAAAAGCTGAAACTTATGTGGAAGCATCCTGGAATAGTGTAGATTCTAAATTGTTCAAATCATGACCCCCGGGGGAAAGGGCGGGGCCACAATGAGGAATCAAAGTTTTACATAGAAATATATAGGAAAAATCTTTGAAAATCTTCTTCTCAAGAACCACTGGGCCAGAAAAGCTGAAACTTATGTGGAAGCATCCTGGTATAGTGTAGATTCTAAATTATTCAAATCATGACCCCCAGGGAAAGGGTGGGGCCACAATGGGGAATCAAAGTTTTACATAGAAATATATAGGAAAAATCTTTGAAAATCTTCTTCTCAAGAACCACTGGGCCAGAAAAGCTGAAACTTATGTGGAAGCATCCTGGGGTAGTGTAGATTTTAAATTGTAAAAATCATGACCCCCGGGGGAAGGGCGGGGCCACAATGAGGAATCAAAGTTTTACATAGAAATATATAGGAAAAATCTTTGAAAATCTTCTTCTCAAGAACCACTGGGCCAGAAAAGCTGAAACTTATGTGGAAGCATCCTGGGGTAGTGTAGATTCTAAATTGTTCAAATCATGACCCCTGGGGGAAAGGGCGGGGCCACAATGAGGAATCAAAGTTTTACATAGAAATATATAGGAAAAATCTTTGAAAATCTTCTTCTCAAGAACCACTGGGCCAGAAAAGCTGAAACTTATGTGCACATAGAAGGATCCTGGGGTAGTGTAGATTTTAAAATGTCTAAATTATGATCAGTGGGGTAGGGTGGGGATGCATTATGTATTACAAGGGGGAAATCTGGTAAAGAACAGAATGGTCAAAGCTTCTCAGTTGAGCGATGTGGCCCATGGGCCTCTTGTTTCTTTGTTTATTTTTCATTTATTAATTTTTTGGGGGGGGCATACTTTGTCTACATAGGTATCAAATAAATTGTCCAATTCTATTTAAAGAATTAAAATATTTAGAGATAAGTTGCAAGTGACGATATACATCTTGTGAAAAAAGTGGGTTACTAACTTACTCTGAAAAAGGGAGATAACTTTTGCTAATGCAAAGTTTATTTATCTTGTGAAATGTCCAATCCATACATTTAATAGATGAAAATTATCTTTTTCTCTTTCAGTGGGAAAATATAAAACACAAGTGGTATCAGCATGCAGAGCAGCAATCAAGAGTAACAATGTCAGTGCTTTGTTTAAAATCATCAAGACAGGGGCGTCATAGAAGGGACATGATGTTGTTCAATGGTTTGAAGCACCTTAAAACTGGATGATGGACTGGAACACCTTAAATATCAATAAAGGACTAGAGCACCTTAAAACCTTAAAATCAACAGGAACACCTTAAAACTGATTTGTGGACAGGAGCACCTTAAAACTGAATAAAGGAGATGAGCAATGCCATTCATTGTGATCCTAACATTCCATTTGTAAACCAGTTTACTTTGAACTTAAAAATCAACTCTCCATTTCTCTCTCACTATCTGCCATGTGTATTATATTTATGGGTCTATTACATTTGGTGAAGGTCTCTTACAGGATATGAACGAAAAGTGATGAAAATATTTTCTCAACGATTATCCTTTGTATTTCTATTTTTAATACTACAACAGAGTTGTGGTGAAATTAAACTAATGTTAGCACATTCTAAATAGTGAGGGATTTGTATGAACTAAAGAATGAATCCATACCATGAAAGTATTCAGTAACTAATGATACAAAATTACCAATGATATGATGGTGTATTTATTTAATGACTTTTCATCCATTAATGATGAATTTGTATCATATGTGCAGGACATGTACATATATATAAGTTAACATAAGAAAGTGTATATTTTGAAAATATACATATCATAATTTGATAGCATCTATAAGGAATTGAAGTAATTTGTATCATGAGTGGACCTTGTATCATTATTGGTTAATATAGTGCTTGATTTATGATAAAGTACATCTTCTTATACCTACAGGTGATCTTGTCTTTACTCATCACCTGTTGATGATTGCAAGATAAGTTCACCCGTGGATATCCAACAATGGAAAAAGTAATAGCATTAATGGATCCAAATATTATCACTAAAGTTACATAAAATAGGTGAATTTTGATTCATTAGTGATAATGTACAACTGGAAAATGTACATTATAGATTTTTTTTTTTTGTTACATGTGTGATCTGATTTTTTCATTTATTTATTGTAAGTTTCATTTTTGTTTTTACTTTGTCTACTGATTTATATACATAATCCGTCCTTAATATTGTGCATTGTATTGTGCTTTTTTTTTACTTTCAAGATGAAAAGAAAATGTTTTATATAAATACTTAAAATTAATTTATGACCCTGTTGGAACATGACACATACATTATTTTGAAATAAAGTCATATGAAAACAGTATCTTGATGGGTTTGCAGATTTTTACAAAAAAAAAAAAAAAAAAAAAAAAAAACAGCACTGATGAAGCCCTCTATGGTTTTATTTTTTTAAATGGAAAATTTAGCAGCAGGTGTCATAAAACTATATTTCAGTGTTACTGGTTTATCTATTGATATCACTCAGTCTGGCTCTGTAAGTGTGGGTTAACAAAATTTACATTACAATATGTCAAAATAAAATTAAAGTAAAATGTATAACATTTTAAAACATTAATTGACTGTGTTCTCAGGCAAAATGCATTTTTTCGACCTTGTACCAAACTGGCTCTTGGATCCAACAAAACACGTACGTCATGCTGCTTGAACACAGTCAATAATTATATTTTATAAAGCACAATGTTCATTTCAGAAACTCCAAAAAGATGTTGCACTTACAAATCCATCCAGTTTGACAAGGAGTCTTAACTTACCTACAAACAGAAAAGTTCCGTTCATTAGAGGGTTGAACATTCTAAGATACATAGGCATTGGAAGCAAATTGAAAGGGGGGGCTAATTGAAAGCAGGGGGGGCTAAACCAACAAAAAAGGTAACCCCCTATTTTCAATGCCTATATTTGACATTGGGGAGGCGAACTAGATTGAAAAGGGAGGGGGGGTTAACTGACGTGTTTTTACTTAAATTCAAATTTCTACCAGTATATTGATATATTTTCCCATTCTGTCAATGTTTCAAAGACTCCACCTGATTAAAAAAACAAAATCGTTTTATTTTATATGATTTTATTTACGTCATGTCATAAGCACATATGAGAAGCACGTAGTTGAATAAATATTATTTTGAGATGCATATATACTTATCTTTAAAATAATCAATTGATAAGCACTAATAAACACTACATAAATGAAATCTGTTCATTAAATAATACACAATGTCACTGCACTTTAAAAGCGTCCAAAAATGAAGCTCCGTCCATCCCGTGCTGACACAAAGTCGTTAGCAACTGCCAAAATGTTCAACGCATCTGTAGCCTCCCTGTGTGTGTGCAGGATCATCAAATGATTCAGCCTTTCCTGGGACATAGTGGCACGAAGATAAGTCTTTACTCGACGCAAAGCAGAAAATGTTCGCTCACTTGTAGCGTTAGTGGCTGGCATCACTAAAATAAGTCTCAGTAGAGTCACAATCTCGGAGAATAGGCATCTGGAAGCTGGAGACATCTGAGACACTAAGGTCACCAAAAAGGAAACGGACACAGTTGAGGAATCATTTAAGTTGTTTCGTGCGAGCGTTGTAAATGTATCCAGCTGTGAAGAAAGAGAGGTCTTGTCCAGATCATCTCCATAGAACTTTAAGACAAAGTCCAAATCCTCTTTGTATGTCTTGTCGCACGCACAGACTTCAGAAGAACGTCCTCTAGATGGCGATACACTTGATAGCCTTTTAATTTCAATATATTTTTTTTTTAAATCGTTTTTTCTCTTTTAAAGTGTAATCATTGTACATTAACCAATGATTTCAACACAATCAATATATTAAAATTTGTATCCTTTCAAAATATCATTGCAAAGATAAAAAATATATATCTTTTAATGTACTTACTTCGTCATAATGTAACCATGCGTATTGTTTAAACCAAGTGGGGTTGAATGAACGCAGTTCTGGATTCTTCTTGCCGAAAGAACGCTTAGGAAATTTAAAATTAACAGGTTGATTAATACTTTTTAATCCGGCCATTTTTAAATTGAAATGTAGAATAAGTGTAATAATATTAAAAAAAAATCATCTCAAGTTGTTTTAGACAGTGATTTTAACTAATTTTCAGTTTTCCCCCTTTAATTTATTAATATGCTCATACGTTGTAATATTTTCGATAATTGTTTAATGACTTGCAATCATGTTGAATCATCAAAGCTTCCAAACATCGATCGACCAATTAATTGGACAATGAACAATTTGTAGCTAACCCGCACTTACAGCAATCATAATGACTACCCTGTTAATTGTGTACACACGCCACGTACAGGTATATAGACATGCATGTATATCCCGTTTTGACGTCTGTGTAAACAATAGCTTGTACACACTTTGCCGCTCCATTGACCACAGAACATGCAGAATGCCGTTATACTCGCCGCTCCAATGAGCAGATTTCGCCGTTTAAAAAAATCATTTTAAAAAGAAAAAATCTCACTATTTTTTTTTTTTTTTGCGAAATTATTGGGGCGGCGACCGCCGCCCCTGCCGCCCCTTTGCCGACGCCCCTGTATACAATTACCCAGTTTCCAACCCTTGTTTATTAAAATTTTGTAGTTGGCTTTCAAAAAGTCATGAAAATATTTTTTAAGCAGTTTGTGCCTACATAGGCCTTTAAAATTACATATGTTTCCAAAACGTAACAGGGGCGTAGCAACAGGGGGCAGGGGGGCCCACTTTTTTCCCCAAAAAGTTTAACCCCCCCCCCCCCCCAGGATTTTCGACTTTGGGCAACTTTTTCCTTTTACGCGCCTGTGTAAAAATAAATTATCTTTAATTAATCGATGTATGTAGCTTAATAATAAAAAGCTTTGGGCAAGACCAATTTTGTTTTACAACAAATACAACTTCGTCGTATTCATTGTATTGAAAAATGCATAAAAGCCGAGGTGTTTTAAATTTTCCCGCCATCGACATTGCCGCCATTGAATACTTTACGACAACATTTTTCTTTTGCAATATAGTATTGAAGTTGAACGATAGGATTCATTAAGTATCATTATTATTTGTTTGAATTTAAGGTTCTTTGAATGCAAATTACTATGATATGTTCCCCTCGATTTTTTTTAATTTTTCATATAACGACACTTGAAGTGTCAAAAGAGCGGAAGTGGGATGAGTGAAAAAGTGATAACAAAACTGAAACAAACATGTGAAGAAAGAAACTACTTTGATTCATCTATTAACAACGTTGTGGAGGAAAACCACTAGTGGTAATTTCCTGTTTTTGATTCCCTATTCAACTAAGGTTATGTCACAATATATTTATGCTGTTGTAGGCATAGAATGCAAATATTGTTACCAACTTTGACAACATTGAACTTGAAGATTTATGCAAACACATGACGTATTATATCATACGTTGAATATGAAACACATTTTGTACAGTAAAAAAAAAAGGTTTAACGTAATAAATAGGTCTCTGCTTCAACATGTAAAATCATTTTTTTCTAAGTGCAAAGTTAACTGCAGATGATAGTAAAACTTTAGAATAATTTAAAGACGTACAACACACTGGGGGAGATAACTCTTGCGATTTCAATTGAACGTTTGACGTGACGTCAAATTAACGTCAAAAGTAAAGCGTCAAAACGACGAGTAAAACGATTCCGATGTATATCAATCTTGAAAGAAAATTGGCTGTGATTGTGCGTACCATACTCAATCAATAAGTATTTTTTAATTAACCCGATTAAACTCTGTAAAAAGCAAGACATAAAATACCATCCCTTAATGTTTATTTCATTTCATATACAATAAATTGTATTTTCGAACAAAGCGCAGCATTTTTTTTATTCGGAAAATTTCATTTTACATTGCCGAAATTCTCATTATGTACAATTGGCTATATAACATTCCGATTAATGGTCTTCATTACAATTTGTGCATATACGATATAAATATTGTTTTTCTTCTTTAATTAAATAAAACAACAATAAATAAACAAAAAAATCGATGTTGTTCTCAGACCCTTACTGATCAAAGAGGAACAACTCTGAAAATGTAGGAGATGTTTATTTTCCTCCCTTAATTCACGGTTTTCCACAGAATCCTATACATTTACAGCAAGACCTGATAAATCTGAGAATTGAATACTATAGACCTCATATACACAATGTAAGTATAGAATTGAAAAGAATTGTTCACTTGTACTGAAATTATCTGCATTGATGAATATCCTATTGCAGCAAATCGTTTGACTTTCTGTCAACAATGTCGGTTCGCATTTCCTCGAATCAAAACAAAACGTAGCCTATAAGATTTTAAAAAATATCAAAGTGCGATTTGATATAAATTGAAATAGATGAAGAGTTCAATGGTTGATATTTTGAAGTTAATGTGGACGAATACGGAATTTTCATTTTAACTTTAGAAGCGACGACATTGAAAGAAATGCGTACAATATCATGAGGGGTGTACATCTAGATGCAAATGTCGATGTATCCCCACGGCCACATACTGTCTCGTTTGAAATAATGACATGAAAGAAACTACATTTATTCCATTTATATCACAGGAGAGTTGAGTATACACCATTTTTCTAATGAATGAAATTAAAGAAATAAAATTAAAAATCAACATATTCAAATTCAACAAAACAGGTTTCATGTGATATGGAATGCATAACGCATACATATATGGACTAAACTCTAAAATCCTTCAGTAATTTTTCCTGATACATATAAAAAGAGTAGTCAATATTTATTCTGCATTCATGAATTTTAAAACTAATGCATATCTCCGGGATTCAAATGACGAAATACCAGTATATTTGCACTGTAAACGACGTTTCGTCAAACGCTAATGGTCTGCAACGCAAAAAAGGAAGGGGTGGGGTGATAGGGGTATTCAAAAATTGCCTAAAAATCTACATTTAAATACGCTTTACATATGAGAACTTTTAAATCTGTAAGTTAATATATTTTTCAAGCAAAAGCAATATTCCAATTTAATTTTTTTAATGTGTATTTGTAGATTCATATAACAAAGTGATCGACCCCCGTCTGAAAGACGCGAGAAAACGTGATTTATTGAGAAAGGGGGAGGGGGTAGTTTTCCGCTATTAAATCAAAACTGGTCGTACAAAAATTATACAAAAAATTATGAAGATTATTTTTACTACCAGCTACCTAAAGAAAGTTTTTTACCAAAATTAAACGACAGGTTTTTTCACAAAAAAAATTTGAATTTGAAAAATACGCAATTTTCAAGGCTTAGATAATTCACAGTTTTTCAGTTTAAGGTTTATAAAAATTATTTTGATGATAGGTATATCAAAAAGATGACTATGTTTTTATGTTAAATGGTTAAGGGAATAAGCCAATGAAATTTGACATTTATATCTAACCTGGCTTTTTTGAAAATCAAGGTTTAAGTAGTTCATTGATTAAAAATTTTCTCTCCTTGTAAACAAGTAAAGGGGGGTAACTTTTGGAAGTTCCTGTCCAAAAACCACTCGAACGATTTTGTCCAAAATGTGCATACATGCAGTAGATATAGTCATGTACTAAATATACAAAAATAACGAAAATTAAACGACAGGAATTTTTTGGGGTAGGTGTGTTGTACATCCTTAACTCAGTGTATCGGGACAATTTAAGCCCTCACCACAGTTAGAATACCTCCCATAGACTCGCAATGTAGCAAATAATTGCAGAATCACATTCTGAAACGATTTTGAAGAATACATACGGATTTGCACTGAAAATAACTTTCAAATTAATTTATAAAAAAAACTTTTCGAGGTTATGTATGCCTTTAAACCTAAAATGTAAAATGTAATCCAAATGAAGACAAAATTCAACTAATTTTCACAACATTTTATCTTGCTTCAAATTTAAACGCCGTGTTTAATTCGGAACTTTCTGAATTGTTCGTAGTAAGTGCACTTAGTTTGAGCATATATAGGCTTTTGGATCGCTTGAAAAAAAAAATTGTGTGTAAAAAAAATAAAGGTACTGAACTCTTACACCGGGTACCAAATTGCGCTATTAAAATATTTTTTATTCACATGCTCTAAAATTCTACTTTCTATTATTCATAGATAACCATTCTTCATTTCTACCAAAGCTCATTCCGAAATTCCATATTTTTCTCGAGATATTCTGAAATCAATCTCAAAAATGACTTACTTTCTTTTACTCGACATTAGCTCGGGCCCCTAGCCATTCACATGTAAACAGACGGTGTTTGAAAAGCAGCGAAGAGTTGCATAGTATTTGCAAGATCTTTCAACATTTTAAAGTTGATTTCTTACTCCAGAATGTAAGGTTAACTCCGTATTAATTCCTTTCGCAAAAAATTAACTTGAAAACGTCTGCATTAACAACTACACCGCCATGTTGATTATGAATTTAAAAGAAGCAATGGTCGAACGATTTTTTCCTGGAATGCATTATATACCTTTCGATTTTCAAAACAACTAGACTGCTAAAATGTTGTTTGTGACTTAGTAAGATCATAAATTATGATCAAATTAAAGAAAATCCATGTATAGATTGAATGCAAATGAGCAAATAGTCATTGAGTTTAGTATAAACTCTGGGGAAAACTTGTCCCGTCGTTCCCGCTTAAAAATTAGTGTAGCCCTCCAAGGCCCAAGCTGATATCGAGTAAAAAATTAAGGTCAATTTTGGAATTGATTTCAGAATATCTCGAGAAGTATAAGGAATTATGGAATGAAATTTGGTAGTAATGAAGATTGTTTACTGTATACAGGGTTATTTTCGCCCCATCTTATTTTCGCCCTTTCACACTTGCAAACAATTTTGACCCGTTTTAAATTCGCCCAGTCATAGTTTTGTTTAAGAAATTATACTGTATTCTTTGAATTCGCCCCGTTTTAAATTTGCCCAATTGAGAGTAGGGCGAAAGGGGCGAAAATAAAACGGGGGTGAAAATTTCCCTGTATACAGTTATGTGAATAGATATGGATAAAAAGTAAAATTGTAAAGCATTTGATTTAAAAGAATTTTATTGGCGACAGTAGGTACCCTATGAAAAGAGTTCCATACCTTTATTTTTTTTCAACACCTCAATTTTTTTTCTTATTGATCTAAAGGCCTGTGGTTTGAGTTATGGGCTTATGGCCCATATCTGTTTTGCAACGTTGAATGATTTCTATCGTTAAACTGGGTCTGTAGTCGTACTATACACACAAAAGGGCTGCAATGTCAACCTGAATTGTCACAGGGTCAATCTCGGAAACACTCCTGTGTTTCAGTAAAATTCCTTGCAGTTAGTAGAATAACGCCTGGAATCATTCAGCAATAATTCCTCTTTAATAAGAATATTGTCACAGTCATTTAAGAATCAATTAACAAGTGTTTTGCAAATCTGATATCTTGTCATGTTGTCCACTAAATTCACTCAACATTGCACCCAAGATTTAATACGGAATGTGTTGGGTCAACAGTGTTTTTCTATTTAATAGATTTGACCAATCACTTTCCATCTTCTAACTTGCATGGGGTTTTCCAAAATATTGTCTGCTCTCAGCTAGGGCCTTGTTTTGAACGGAAAAAGCTGCAGTATTTATTTAAATTTTAGATTTGTTTTGTTTTTAATTCCATTACCCTCTGTCCATGGATGCTAATCATGGAAAACACTTGGAATGGTCTTATAATGAATTGATGATTACAGCAAAAATGATTTTCATTCCCCATTACTTAAAAATATATTTGACACTTGATGAATTACCCTTATACTGAAGCAAAATTTTCCATTCCTGGCACTTAATTTGTTATAAGAGTGTTTTACTGTGTATACTAATATGTTTAACCAAATAATCTTAAGTGTAGTACAAAAAAGTTCAGCTATTAAAGAGGAGGACAGTTGCAAGTAGGTCCTATAATCCTTGGTCAATTTATCAAATTCCAAGGTCAAATATTGAAGTTATTGATATCTCCAAGATGCTTTGAAAACATAGTTCATTTATGATTCAGAATCTTTAAGTTGAAGGTCAACATGGTCAGGGTTTGTTGTCAGGATATGAGAATTGTAATGAATTTCCCTTAGCATGAGTTTTAAAGAAGCTAAATAAAGACTGGTTGGTAGAAGACATTAAGGTTTCAAAATTTGACATAGAACTTAAAAAGGAAAATAAGAATAAAATCAAAAACAAGGAGTATGAACCTGGAAAGGTGCATGCATCATCAGGTGTATACATTGACCATCCATGTCTGCTCACATTTTGATGCTAGGGCAGAGTACATTTGCTATGAAAAAAAGTATTGGCCATGTCATAACTGAATTGTATGAGAACAATATGAGAAAAACAACTGATTAGCATCCTAGCCATGGGCCCATATTACTTAGTCTGTTCAATTTTAACTGCAAATAATCAATGTTTTCATACAGGTGACTGCATTGTCAGTAAATTAATTTTGTTATCAATTATAAGTCATAAATCTTCTTCATGGCTGCAGTCAGTTGACTCATCTAAAATTACCTCTGGTAAATAATTTTTTTATCTTGAATTTTTGTTTAATTTATATACATTTTTAGATATTTGTAACAGCACAGCATAAACACTTATTTTTATTATCTGGTTTAATTCATGAAGAGTTAGAAAACTGAATGCCTATATCTTCCTGATCATGTTACATCATTATGAACTATGATTTATCTAGTACTAAGAGTGCGGTATTCACGATATATCCTGCTTTATTTACTGAGTTATATAAAAAAAGACAATAACACACACAGACACAAACACATGTCTCTCACTTGTATTCAAAAATAGACTACAAATGTGAAGGGTTGTATTTTAGTTTTATTTAAATATGCAATTCTCTTTCAGTAATATAGTTGTTTCTGTATTAATTATGCATTAATTAATTTTTGTAAAAAATATTGTAGGAGGTTGTGTCTACAGCTTACCATCAGAATGCAGTTTAATCCAACCCCGGGGCAGAATAACATTGGGTACCCCCAGCAGGTCCCACAGAATAACATAGGGTACCCCCGACAGGTCCCAACCAGGCAGGGAGGGGGCATTCCAGCCCCCCATCAATCAAATTGTCAGAGGTAAGATATAATTAAATAAACATAGATATCAATTCTTTCCTCTCAAAGGAAGAATGGGAAAATAAGTGACAAATCAGGTGGACGTATGTATAAAACCTTAACATGTAGCTTTACCAGGAAGTATGTCGTTAGTATATAATTCTCATCTGCCAAGTGTTTTGTCAGTTCATATCTAGAATTCGCACTTAAAAATGTTATAAAACTGTGGATTTGAACGTAAATTTTGTATTAGTTTTGAAAAAATAATTCTTTTTATGAGTGCTTGGATTAATTTTTCTGTATTTGCTTGAAAGGTAATTTTGTTTGAAAGTCATAGATTATGATAAGATTAAACTGATATTATCCCAATGTCAGGACAATTAAAATGCACTGATGATATGGTTATGTAATACATACTATAATACTATGATGATATGTTTCAGATCCAGTGGACATGGAACTGTCTTTTCCCACAATGCCTTGGCTCCACCAGGAATAGGATGGAATATCTCCGGATTCAACCAACAGCAATCACCATGGGGACAGAGAAGTGTCTCACCTTTCTCGAACCAAACCAATCCATTCAATGATAATTTTGTTCCAAATAGTACATCTGTGAGTGCATCAAGCAGCACTCAAGGCTTCAATAGCAGAAGTGCTACACAGTTGCAAAGGCATTTACCGACGGGGCTTAAAACTTCTGCCAAGGATACAGGTTTCAGTTCCCCATTAATAACTCTCTCACCTGAAAATACTCTACAGCGTAATAAGGATGGTAAAGTGGAGATGTCAACTTACAGTATGGATCTTGAGGGACTAGATTTTACCGCCCCGAGTTCAAATTTAGGTGCTCAAAAACCTCTCAGTTCTTCAACTGAGGAAATGTCATCAAGCACTCAAAAGTCAGTGTACCCAGATTATAGCCATGTGTTTAATGAAATTCGAAGGGAACAAAATGTAAGTAATGTGACACAGTTAAATTCTTGTTACAATATGAATCCCCCTAAAACTTCAAGTGTTAATTATTTAAACCCCTCTAAAACACAAACCGTGACTTCCACTGTAAATTATGGATGGAATATGTCATATCTGTCTGGGAGTAGTCAACAAAATTCTGGGAATAAATTTGATACATCATGGCAAGGGAATTCAGGGACTCAGACTCAGTCCAAGAACCGGTTTTCTAGTTACCAGCCTACGTTTAGGTCCAACTGGACTTACCAGAGTCCACGTCCAACTTACAATGCGTGGGGATATAATCCAAGCTTTATCATGCCAGCAGCATCACCAACGTTGTTTCCATCTTTATCCCAAGTCTCTAGTAGCAGTGACTTTGATGATTTGCGTTCTCGTAAAGAAGAAGAAACCGAAGAGGAGGAGTCCGATATTTTTGAAAATGAAATCGTACCACAGAGAGATTTTGTGGAAGAGAACCAGTCTCGTTCTAGGACTTCTAGTGATTTAATAGAATTCGAAGAGCCAGAAGAACAGGAGTACATGTCATTGGATTTATTTGATCCTCTATATTCTAGAACTCGTAGGGAGTCGATTATTTATCGGAGAAACTCTATCTCAGGGGAAAACGATGTGTTAAAAAATACTGAAGGTCACGTGGATTTTTCTGAATTGGAGCGTCCACAGACAGGACTGTATCCCGCTATTCCAGAGGAAGCCAAAGATTCGGAAACTTCTCGGGAAAGTGTTTATAGACCTGAGCATAGTGATACGTTGTCTAGCACTGATGCTCTGGAACTATTTTTGAGATCTAGTCATGTGGAGGAACAGGTAGAAGAAACCAAGCCCGACATCCCAGAACGTCCACCTCCAGTATTGCCAAGAACAGCATCGACTCATGAGGTGATATTTGTTTTCTTTTTCTGATTATAGGTATACTTTAACTTTTTGTGACACCCATAAAGTGAGACGTTAGAGGTATAAAGAAAGATCATATATTAATTAAATTTCTAATAAGTTACTTTATTTACTTTATACATTACCTGCCAGGCTGATACTATAAATTTACAGGCTATCAAGGTCAGTTGAGTAATTTTTCAAGGTCAGTTGGGTAATTTTTCAAGGGCAGTTTGGGTAATTTTTCAAGGGCTCTACACATCATTGAAGATATGAAGATTTATTTCTTGTGCATAATTTGAAATGAGAAAATTGTATGTTACTGATCAGAGGAATGATCCTGGATGAGTTTTGGAGCCCATATTCATTAGCTTAAGGTCAAGTCTCAGATAGTAAATCTATACATTTACACAAGAAAGAATCTATAAATGGAAAATTGACATTGGCTCCAAATCAAAGTTATTTGAAAATGCTGAAGTTCACAGAAAATTGTTCTTTACATTGGGTACATGCAGTTTTTCAAACATGCACTATTTGGAGGGTTCTTTTCAGGATAATCATTTTGGGTCTGTCATGACAGATTAAGCTACCCATATTTCAGAAATAAAGCCATACTTTGTTGCCATTTATGTTTCACATCTTATTGTTTTAAATTTCTAGGGACCATATGAGAAACTTCATAAACGAGTGTTTGTTGATGAAGAGTCCGAGACATTTAGTCAGATGGTGTCCAAGTAAGTAACATTACAACAATTAAATGCTGGGTTAACCGGTTTGAATGTTATAAGCTCTTAAGAAGTCATCAATTAATTTAGGACAAAAACATTAAAACACTAAAAATTACACAGAAATTATACAAGGAAAATACTGGTGTTACAAGTACTACAAAGAGTTGATGTTTGTTAATTGTTTGGAATAATTGATGTGCTTAAGAGTTGTTATTTGATATTGGCAATTCACACTAATACATGTAACTTGTCAATAATTTTTCATGTCTGGTTCATAATATCTAATGCAGAAACAATGGAAGTTCATACATTTATGATTACCTATGACCAGATTCTTTGTAAATAGTTTTGCTAGAAGATTCAAATTATTTAATGCCTCTTTTCAGATTGAAGTCAAAATTTAGTTCCAAAGACCCCTCGGTCAACAGAGGTTATGTCGTAAGTGCGTTTTGTGAAATACAGCAGCCCTCCATGTCTGTCAAGATTTCCATTCATTCTGATTACTCGGTGGATCCTGTCATTTTTACTTGTGATGGTAAGAATTGAAAGTTGGATATTTTTCAAAAACATAACAGTAGATGACTGCCATTAGAAAATCATTTTTGCAAACCTAATAGTTACCAATCATTTTATATCATTTTCATGTAAATGCAAGTTTTTCATTGGGCATTGATCACATGAATTAGCAAACATGATGTATGATTTATATTTCATGTGTTAAGCATTAAAAATTTGTAAATTTTATAAACCTTAGCCAGCATATACTTTTCCTCCTATGATACGAGTGCTGGGTTTATGTTTCATGTATTTTGTTGAAGTCATTAGTGCACAAAAATCCAGAATATTGATATTGATAGTACTGTCGTATTTCTTGGAGGTAAAAAGTCTTTATATTTTATTTTTATTTCAGTTCATTGTAATGTAGAACATGTGATTGGTAATGTCCTATATAATCATATACAGTCCGAGGGCTGCAGTGCTGATGACTTTGTCCTTAAAGTCTACGATAAGTCTGAGTATCTACTCAAGTAAGTGTTGGTATACTATAAACCAACTACTATTTGTGATAACCTTTATTCAGAATTTGCTGTGTATTTATCCATGAGTACAAAATTTCATGACTAAGGAAACATTCTACCAAAAAAAAAAAAACAACAACAACAACCAAACAAGCACAAAAAATATTTTTAAAAAAGTTCCCAGCAAAAATTGCAGCTATTTGAAAAGTCATGAAATCAAGGTATTTCTTTCATGAAAATGAAATTTGACTTCAAAGAATGTATATAAGTATTGTATTCTTTCAGAGAACATATCTGAGAATTGTGAATATTAGACAATTGAAAAAAAATTATAGTCTCAATTGTCATGGTGATGTTACAGTTACCATGAATATGTTACCATGGTTACAGTCATCATGGTTATATTTTTTTTTTTGCCTTTCAGTGATCATCCCCTATCAGAGTATGAGTATGTCCACAATTGTTTGAAGCTTGATAAGGACATCAGATTTATCATGCTGAGGAAACAGGATATTCCTTTACCATTCCTTAGAACAGTATGTAAACAGTTTTTTTATTCAAAAATTTTATTTTCAGATTGAGCGGTGAGGGCTGTGGCCCTTGGGTCACTAGCTACAACTGGATCAAATTAATGAGTTGCAATAATTACTTTTGAGTTTCACCAAAAGATCAGACACATTGGACTGAAGTGTATAGACTGTATAAAGTATATTCTGTAAAAACATTGTGAAGACAAAAAAATCAGGTACATGTACATATATATGTAAGAAAAAATTCATTAGACAATATATTTTTTCAGGCTGATGATGATGATCAGTTTCTGGTGTTTCCTAAGGATTACATGTCAGCCTCAGAGGGAGTGGTATCCCAGTAAGTCACCTCAGTGTACTGTCTTAACTTGTATTCATTTATAGTCAGATTTAAAGATACAGACATTTACAGAGCCCCCCCCCCCCCCTCTTCAGTTTAGTTTCCAATCATAATACCAGTATGTGAACTTTTCAAATAGTAGACCAGATCTTTGCAAAATAACAGTTCTGCAAATGTACATGCACATGTCAGTGCTCCTTTGTATTAGTATTATGAGTATCTATTTAAAACTGGAAGTATTTTGAAAATAGATAAGGAAGATGCAACCAGTTTGGTATTAGATAATCAGGATGTAGTGCATGTGTTAATACTTTCAAACATACACTGTGTACCATGGTACAATGACAAAACCCCTATACAAAGTATTCCACTAAAAAAATCAGCTACTTGTAGTCTGGGCCAAACAAATTAAAAACAATATATATCTACTATGGAAATCATAAAATACTGGGGGATTGCTGGTCTATATCTACATGAATTATTTTTTAAGTATTTTACTAAAATAAAGATGTAAGAATGAGAAATTTTGGTGGTTTACATATGTATATAGTTTAATCAGAATTCATTTTCTTTTATTGAGAAGATTGACCTTTGTTTTCTTTTTTGCATAGGATACAACTAGAGACTCTTATGAACACTTTCTATAGAGAATTAGAAAGCCTAATGGATCATATATTAAAGGTAAGGGACTTTGATCATTTTGGTGTTTGTGTGTTCTAGGAATGACTTTGAGGAACTTACTTTACTGATACTGTATTGATTACTTGAGTGTGATTCCATCGGATTTTGATCAAGGTTCGAAAATCCCTTTTTGTACCAGTTGATTTCAGAGGAAAGATTTTGGAACTATCACAGGCGTATTAGATTATTATTTCTGACAGTTAGTAAATGGCATGATAAATGTTTGAACATTGTACATGTAATCATAAGTGGGGAGAGGACCAAACAATTGTGAATGATTTTCCACCCTTACAAGCAGTAGATACTTTTATTGCAATATTGACGTTGTTTTGTTTTGTTTTCATGCTTTCATGATCAAGAAAATGATTTATTTCTGCAATATGTGTAGCTTTTGGCCTTATCACCATATTTACAATTTAACAAAAAGATAAGAATCTCCAAGTGTATGAATTTGAAACTGGAGATAAATTTCAACTTAGGCATTAACTATTTAACAAGACATTCAGTTTTGCTCTATAACCAAGTTGAAATCTGAAATGACCTTGACAATTTTTTTTTTATCCATTTAGATGCATATAATACTTTATTCTATCCCTTTGATTTTACAGAACAGCATAGCTCAGGTCCACACCACTGGATTAAGCCAGTCTGTGAAGGCCATCTGTACAATATTAGCCAACATTCAGACTATTGAGGTCACCAGGTGTCTGAAGAGAGCAGAGGATATTTTTCAACAAATGTTAGAGGTAGGCCATCTATTTAATTTTTTTTTAGTACAAATGTTAGAAGTAGGGCATATATTTAGACACTTTACAAAAAGCTGAAGTAGATCATACATGTATTATCCTATTCATTTGGACAGGTTTGACATAGAAAATATGTACAAATGAAGAAGAGGATAGAATTATGAGGAAATATTTTTGAAGTTTTATTGTCTAACTGAATAGTTTGAATGTGCTTTCTGTTCACCAAGTTTCCTTTGAGACTCCATGCTTTATATGATTTTGTCATTTAAAATTTGATTTAGAAGGTAGTCCAAGTTAAATATTTACTTTCTTTGTACAGAATCAGAAACAAC